GGAGCAGACGAGATTCACATGGATCGCTTGGGGTCATGCTCCATTATGTAATCGCATTTATTTAATTCCGCAGGAAAATGTTAAGAAGGGCTACGTACACACTATAACTCAATAGCCCATTCCAAGCAGATAATGGGAATTGTCACTCTGTGAGGGGTAAACTACAGTGTCCAGAATTCTTAGAGGAAAAGAATGTGCTTCAAATGCATTTTAAAGGGATATTGCGTATGCAGCCAAGGTTTGTTTTGTAGTTCTTTGCTCTTCAGCTGTATCCTCTAGGATTAATTATTTTAAATTCTATAACTGCATGTAGCTATGAGGCATAACAGTATGTGGGAGGTTTGTTTTAACAGCATAATGTTAACTAGATCAAAGTACCAATTAATACGTATAATCCGTGTTGTGAAATCTGCTGTCATATTCAATTTTGTGCAGCTGTTGACATGTATCAGGAAACCTGTTGACTGAAATGCGAGGTGCTCACTGGAGATTCTCCTGCACATCAGTTAAAGCAAGTCTTTTTGTGGACTCTTGCAAGTCTCATGTTCAGTTCTGTTCACATGTAAGTGATGGGGAGAATAGTTGTGGCTCAACAAAAGGGAGCTTTGCAAAGTGAAGACTAAGCTGATAGGATGCATGCTACAGAGGAGAGGAACTCACACCACAGAAGCATTTTATTAAAGTCATAGGAATAATCAGTTGTTAACCCCTCCACTTCATGACAGCTAAAACGCTGCCAACAGTAGTCATCAACAAAATAAATGGTTTTATAGGTTTTTGAAATATACTTCAAGTGCAGAAAATACCCGAGGAAGTGGTGGTGAGGGCTCCACAGTTATGAAGCTTCTTCTAAATTTAGTTTGACATATTTTGAAAACTTATAATGTTACTCGCATTAGCCTTTAAAAAATAAAATAAAAGTCAGCACTCACAAAGCTGCTTTTGTGTGCATTTATTCACTTACTGGGCATGACATGACACAGACTTATGAAATTAAGTTGAAGGGCATTACAAAATCCCCCTCTTTCTCAAAAGGTAAGAATTTGAGGTTATTCTGTGAACTCAAGAGGCAGGTTCAATGCAAAAGAAACTACAAGCCCATGAATTTCAGGGTCACTTCTCTCATTGTGAGGTTATGTGGCCGTTTGTATCATCTTGTCAACTGGTAAGGAATTTTTTTTTATCATAGATTAGGTAGTAGATCAATGGTCATCTGCATCTACCCTAGCATTTATCTAATACAAAATGTGATGTGGAGAGTACTTTGAAACACACATTTGAAAATAGCTATTAATACAAACATAGATTCAAACCACTTAGAGTTTTAAGGAGCCATAAGCACCTTAATATGATCTTTATGAACTCAAGCTTTTGCTAGTTTGGGTGGACATGAGTGACAAAAAAAATCATGTCCAACCACAGGCAAAAGTTGATGGAATAAAATATTTAAAAAATCTGACAGAATAGAACTTGTAAGAATATGGAGAGATGCACATAAGAGAGACACATTCAGAACACTCTGTGCACCACTGGCCACCTCCTCTCAAAAAGGATATTGCAGAACTCCTCTATAGAAAAGGCAAAAGATAAGGAAAGTGGAGCAGCTTTCTTGTGAAGAAAAGCTTTATACTGCTTTTTAGCTAATGGTAAAGAGGTGGTGACTGGTAGGTAGTACAAGAGATGCTTAGAAAATTATGAATTGCTTGTTTCTTGTTTAGATTCTTGCAATGCATGATAGATTGGCTGCCTTTAAAAGCAATCCAGAAACTGTGGTTGGTGCAGAAGAGGGTCATGAGTTTATTAACTGAAGCTGCTTCCAGACAATATCTGTTTTGGGGTGGAATTCAGTCACATGCATACAAATTTAGGTCAAACAATTGCACAGATGAGTGGGAAGTGTTATGCAAAAAACCCATTTCCCCAAAAGAGTGGACTTTTTGTAATAAGGAAAGTGACGGGGAGATTCACTGGAAAGTGTAGAAAAGCTTTTGCTTCGAGGCAGCAGCACCCAACTTTCCCACAAGCAAACTGGAGTGAATGTTCATTAAACAGCAATTGCCATCTAATCTCCCTGAAAACAAATAATGACGAATGCCCAATAAACAGGTCTGAAAGTGTCCTGAGACTCAGCAGTTTAATAATAATAATAATAATAATAATAATAGAAAAAAATCCAAAATAAAATATAATAAGAATCAATCTAGACCTGGCTGCTTGATCACACTATGTCTGTGGATTGTCAGTTGCACTAGCCCCTAGGCCCTATTTAAAACACTGGTTTGAACCTTAGAAACCCTAAGCAGCATGGGACCAGGTTACATGAAAGACTGTCTTCTCCTACACATGTTGACCCAAACCTTAACATCCTCCTAAGAAGTCCTGTTCCTGGTACCTCTGATTAATGAAGTGAGGTGAGCAATCACCAGAGACAGGTCCTTTTCAGTAGAGGCATCTCAGTTATGGAATAGGTTTCCAGGGGGACTAGCCATTTTTGTAGTCTTTTTGCTGCCAGGCTGAATACCTTTTTGTTCACCCAAACCTTTGACATAATTTAAGTAGTCTCCCTCTCTGCTTATGAACCATGTTTTGTTGTTTTTAATTTTGAGGATGTGGCAAGTTCTGTTTCATTGTATCTGTCCGGCTTCTTCCCCTTTTAATGGTTACCATAGTATTTCACTTGTTTTTGCTTACTTATTGTTAGCTACCCAGAGAACTTCATACAAATACCAAAAATAAATACGGAGAGAAAAGAAACTATATGCAGTCCGTTTCTACACAAAGAATTCAAGAGAATTACAATGAATTAAATTAATTGCTAGTAATTTGATAACTGTGAAACGAGTGACTTTCCTACACAGTTGACTTACAGATTTATTGCTGCAAGATGAGTCACTGGAACAGGTCGGTTTGTTAAAAGGATCAAACAAATTGGTGCTGGATGTTCCTAGTAGCCTTAACAGCTGAGAACAGACTCCATGTGTACATTGGGTTTATAGGCACGCAATGAAGGTTTTTCCTGCTCTCTTATGATACTGGTTCATCCAATGAAGGTGAATATTGGAAAATTCAGGGCAGACGAAAGGAGGTACTTTCACACAGTACTTAACTCTAGAACCTGTTCCCACAAGAGGTAGTGATGGCTACCTATTTGAGTGGCTTTAACAGAGGAGTAGACAAACTCATAGAGAAGAAGGCTCTCAATGGCAGTATGCCCTGAATTCTGCCAACTGCTGGCAATCACAGGTGGGGAGAGTGGTCTTGTACTCATGCACGGCTTATGAGCTTTTAAAAGGCATCAAGTTAACTACTGTGACAACAGGATGCTAGACTATATAGACTGTTGGCCTGATTTGGCATGGCTCTTCTTACATTTTTAAGGAACCAAACTAATTCACAATTCCGAGACAAATATATGGATCAGAACATGGTTATCCTTTGGTTCTTGCATGTCTAATTCTGAGATAAGTCATTGGATTAAAAAAAGGGGGTGCTAAAATGCATATAGAATGCATATTTTGAGATAAAATGTAAGCAAAAATGTGTGGTTTGCTGGAGAAGTGAAAACATGAAACTATAGGCAAGTCTCTATGATCAACTTCATTACACTGAAGTGCAATTTCAAAGAGTGCTACCCTTGGGTGTGCTGCCAAACAGTTCTGGCTTGGGGAAATGCTCTGCTGTAGCATGTGAAAGCTGGGTGTGCTATTCTAATGTGTGAAGTGTGTCCGCATCTCAGGATCATTGTTTGCATGGAACTGGTTTCCCGAAGTGGGATTTCACATCTTTGCTTGTGTGAATATGGTAAGGGCCAACGAAGAACCCTTCCAGATCAGACCAAAATGCCACCTAGTCCAGCATCCTGCTTCTTCTCACAGTGGCCAAGCCAATGTCCCTGGAAAGTCCACCAGCATGGCTCAAAAGCAGAATACATTTTCCCACTGTTGCTGTCCAGCTACTGGTACTTAACATCATCTTCAAAATAATCTATATGCCACTTTTCCAAATGATGCTCAAAATGGCTCATGAGAGCAGTAAACAAATCTTTGTATATGTAGGGTTTGCATCGAACGTTAGCCATACTCAGCAGAAGCCCCTTTAAATGAATGAACACTTAGGTGCATCCCTTTCAGTTTGAGTTTACTCTCAGTAAAACTTGGGTGCAACCTATAGTCAAATGAATAGCCTATTTTATGCCCCTATTATCCAACTAACAAAAACATTTGTTTTAACTTATGAAATACATTCTAGGCATCTTGAGCCTGTTCTAGGCATTTTCATGTCTCCTTGAGACGATTGGGTCGGGGAGATAAACAAGTTTTATTCAGAGTTGAATCCATGGGGTTTAATGAACATTACAGAGTTAGGTCTATTAATTTCAATGAGTCTGCTCTGTAGAGAACTTTATATTTGCCTTGGAAGCATGAATTTGTTTCTGCAAATATTGCCGAATGAAATCTTAACCCATGATATCAGCATTTTTATCATACTCATCTGCATTTTTGTAAGCTAAAAAGGTAAAACTAAAGGTACCCCTGCCCGTACGGGCCAGTCTTGACAGACTCTAGGGTTGTGCGCCCATCTCACTCAAGAGGCCGGGGGTCAGCGCTGTCCGAAGACACTTCCGGGTCACGTGGCCAGCGTGACATCGCTGCTCTGGCGAGCCAGAGCCGCACACGGAAACACTGTTTACCTTCCCGCTAGTAAGCGGTCCCTATTTATCTACTTGCACCCGGGAGTGCTTTCGAACTGCTAGGTTGGCAGGCGCTGGGAACGAACAACGGGAGCGCACCCCGTCGCGGGATTCGAACCGCCGACCGTTCGATCAGCACACCCTAGGCGCTGAGGCTTTTACCCACAGCGCCACCCGCGTCCCCATTTTTGTAAGCTAGTGACTGACTATTTTACTAGCCAAGAAATGTTTTACTTCAAAGTATCACATGTTACTGTATGTAATTGGTTCTTGTGAAGTTTACCAAGCAAATATTCCCTCTCTTTTACAGACTTGGATTATCACTTGCTTTTATCTTCAGCTGCTCCTCCTTAATCCTCTTATCAGAGCCCAAAGTCCCTGCGGGAATCCTGTGACGGATGATGTGTATGACATTGCAAAACTGGCAAGTGGCTTTCCTTGTAACCTTCTTTTTAGATGCTAAATGTTGTGACTATGCTAAGCAGCCACAGTAAGCAAACTACAGTAAGCGAGAAGGGACACTGGGGGAAGCATGTTGACGGAAGTGCTTCTTGACTTACAATTGAAGATTGAAAGTGCATTCACAAAAATGGTTGTGTTTACAGCAGAGCTAGCCAACTCGGTGCCCACCAGAAACTGTTGGACTCCAGTTCCCAGCAGTCCCTGCCAGCATGGCCAATGGTCAGGGATGATGGGAATTCTGCTCATTTCCACTGTAGCACAGCATTGCAGTCAGGCATTGACTCCACCACCTCATCCCAAGGGAATTTTCTCTGCTCAGGACCTCCAGCCAGTGAGGGACCAGGTCACTCTCTCGTCAGCTGGGGGGACTTGGATTCAACCTGCCTGTAAATTGACCAATTGCTGATGGGCCCGGGGCAGACTTTCAAGGGGGAGGGCAGACAAGGTCCAAAGGAAGACTTTACTCTGGTCCACTTCTCAGAAATGAAAAGCAGCTAGCTCCTTCGTGGCAATGCCATTTTCCCGTTTCTCTTTTGGGTTCAGCTTGTGCCTACCTGTTACTGTGGGTAATTGCTCAGTGCATGACCTTGTTATAGGTGATCTCAGTCCCCATATTGGGGACCAGGGAGGAATTTTTCTGTCAGACTAATTTTCCTCATCTGAAGGTTTTGCCTTCCTCATAACAATTGTCACAACTTTGATGGGTTAGGCCTTAGTCTTGGTTGGTGGAGAGGCTGTAAGCCTCTGTCTGCCCCACTGAGGGAACAGGTATCCCATTAAAGGAATCCAGGAGGAGGTGCTTCTGTCCAGATGCCCATGTGGGGTCCAGGGTCGCAGCACTCCTCAAGGCAGCAATCCAGTCAAGGAGATATTTGATGTATGTCACAGGGCCTAACCATCTCTGGATCGACCCCCATAAAACATCCAGCAAGTAGGTTGGTTGATAATAGGATATACCCAATGCCTAGGCCAAACCCCTTACATCTGTAATCGATAGGGTTGTGGCTAATTCAATCCAAAATGAATATTGCCATGTGTAGTCCTTGATTGGGTGGGGCAATGGTTTCACAGCACTTTGGTGTGCAATAATTGCTGCAATCCAACAATCTCTGGAGAGCATCATGTTGGCTACCCCAGATTTGCAGCATCCAAGACAGCAGCCTTCGAGGGCTTCCTTTTCAACTCAAATGTTTGTTCTAACAGTCAGCAGCACATCTCAGATGTCCTTAATTTGTTTTCTTTGGTCCATTTTTGATGCCCATTAGCAAATTCCCCAAGTGCTAGTATTAGCTTTTCGCTCAAGCCCATGGTAAATAGGCCCCCTGGCCCCTTAACCTAAACCTGAGTGTTTCATTTGTGTGTTTTTACTTGAAAATAATGGATCGAGGAGCGTTCTGCTTGTGTTCTCACAATCTTATGGAAGAAAAACCAAATCGCGTGCTTTTCCCCTAATTAGAAAAAGGGCAATCTTTTATTAACTGTATTTTTTTTCTTTTACAAAAATGCATCTCAAAGGGGTTTCTGCCAATTTAGATTAGATCATCCCAGCAAGACTCAGATAATGGAAATGTCACAGAAACAATTCGTAACACCCAGCCTTGCATGTTTTACCCCCAAGTAAAGAGCAAGAAAAACAGCATGCAGTACAGTTATGAACAATGTACAGTGATCTTGTGAGCTGAACAATTTTTTTAAAAGTCACATGGATTCTAGAAAACACATGTTCCCTCACTTATGAGAAACATGTTGCTTTTAATGTGGAAATGAGTAAATAAAATAAGGGAAACATTAGCTGATACTGCTCCACATTGACCCAGTTTGCACATTAAGCTAAGCCAAACCATGGTTTAGTGCAGGGCTGAAACTAGGCTTTCTGTCACCTGGGGCAAAGACTCGGTTTGCCACCACCACCCCACATGTGTTTGTGTACACACACACACTACAGGAAGGGATAAATACAAAGTGCTTCATATGTCAGCATCACATTTATTTCATTGCAGATATTTTATTTTCAGTATGAAGAGGACTCAATTTTTGCAGCTGATTGTATGCAGCAGTGCCCTCTTTATGTATTCATATGGTGTAAACATGTATGTTGTCCTCTAGATCCAAACACACACACAGAGAGAGAGAGAGAGATGGGGGGGGAGGGAGGGAGAGAGAGAATGAACATAAGCAAGCAATACTCCAAAGTGCTTCTGTTCCCAAAAAGGGCAGGAGGTGGTGTTCTGATCTCTTCACCACTTTTAATTGATCTTTGAGACGTTGATGGAAGCAAAAGAAGAAGAAAGAAAGCAACAAAACCTTCCCTTTTCAACGTGCTTGGAGAACAACTTTCTCCAGGATTTCTCTTTTGCACACAGTTCCAAAACAGACGGGGGAAAGGGGCAGGAGGATCCTTTTCCAGGTTTTCCTGCTTCCCCTGGCAAATTAGCACCCCTCTGGTGCTCAGCAGCTCAAGATCCACACTGCTACAAAAGACTGGAAGGACACTTTTGGACTCTGGAGCCGCAAAGAGGTGCTGCGGTCAGAGGAAGCCCCTGCAAGCTGGGAGCTCAGTGGTGCCCCTCTAGAAGCTTCACCCAGGGCTGAGAGCCTGGCTAACGCTCCGTTAACTACAGCCCTGCTTAGTGTGAAATCACAGGATCTCAGAAAGGAGATTGCAGTCATTTTGCTCCTCCTCCAGTCCTGATGCTGCTGTGCTTCTGTGAACTATGCCATGGTTTGGCTTAACATGTCATCCATATCCAGGCTAGTGGTTTTTCTCACTCTAGAGAAACAATGAACTATAACAACGGTTTGTTCTATAGCATTTGGCTTGTGGTTTATGTGGAGGAGATAAATTACAAAATCAGGTTTGGATGGCACACTAAGCCAAACCATAGTTTAGGTCACAGCAATGTAGCAGGACTGAAGGAGGAGCAAGTAACCACAATATTCTTTCTGGAGCCCCCACATTCATGTGCTTGTGTCAAGCCATGGTTTAGCTTTGTGGTATTTGCAATGTGTGTGGCTGTGGGGAGGGGAAAGAGATGGTAAGTCGTGATGTGAAACAGTCCTGCATATGATCAACTCTCTTTCGGTACAGTAAACCTTTGAGATTTTTGAGCCCTTGCAAGTTTCATGCTTTCATGCAATCCATTTCATGCTACCATAAATATTTATGGTGAAGCTGATCTCCACATTGGAAGAAATGTGGTTATTAGCTTGTGCAGTACGAACAATCACACCTACTAGCTTCCCAAGGGAAAATGAAATAGTTTCATGTTGTAGTTTTTCCTAACAAGGAGTTTAATGTTTGTTTGTTTGTTTGTTTGTTTGTTTGTTTGGTGGTGGTGGTGAGGTTTATAAACAATGCACACATGGATCCTTGAATGTGTTGAAAATCTGAGGTGAGATACCCACACAGCGGAAGTTGCCCCCAGTTCCATTCGCCACACAGAGGCAGCTTAAGGTCCAAATAGTTTACTGTTGCAGAAGATAAGGCTTCAGTAATACATTTCATGGCGTTGATATACAGCTTGTAAGCTTTGCAGATACAGATACAGATAAGTAGAACTACCTCCATTGTTCCATCAATTCAAATCTTTGAATCACTTCTTAAGATTGACTCCAACACAGACAGCAAAATACTGAGTGTGATATGCCTTAATCACTTATACCAGGCATGGCCAAGCTTGGCCCTCCAGCTGTTTTGCGACTACAACTCCCATCATCCCTAGCTAACAGGACCAGTGGTCAGGGATGATGGGAACTGTAGTCCCAAAACAGCTGGAGGGCCAAGTTTGGCCATGCCTGACTTATACAGTCAGCACTGACTGGGCTGACTCTGCACCTGTTAGCTTATCTCATACATAGAGTGATTTGTGCTCATGAAGGACATCAACCCCTTCCTCCATGTCCAGTTCTTCAGACACAATGTGCAGACAATTCCCACCTTTGCATGGTTCCCCACCATCACCAGTTATTCAAGCTCCAAGAACAGTTCCTAGTGTTATTCTATTCCTGAACTTCTTTATTTTTTTATACATTGCATTTATATACCACCTTTATCTTCCAAGGAGCTCAAGGTGGTGTGCATGGTTCGCCTCCTCTCTATTTTCATCCTCACAACCCTATGAGGTAGGTTAGGCTAAGAGATGGTGACTGGCCCAAGGTTACCCAGTGAACTTCATAGATGAATGAAGATTCTAACTCTGGTTTCCCAGGTCATAGTACAACATTCTAACCACTATGCCACACTTTTTGGGAGTTTTCTGAGAACCAGCAGAGCATTACACTGGGGCCAAAATATTTAAGTTATTGCTTAGATCTGTGAGGCATAAGAAATGGCTTAGACCACTGGTCCACCTAGCTCAGTACAATATACTTGACTGGCAGGGATTCTTCAGGGTTTGGGTCATGAATTTTTCCTAGCCCTATCTAGAGGTATTGAACCTGCATGTAAAATTTGTGCTCTACCACTGAGCTACAGCCCTTCTCTGTTTGACAGACAGCCTTTTTCAGCTTTCTAAAAATAAATGTACATGCTTGGCCTTTTACAAACCATTTCAAAGGCACTCTTATGTGTGTCTCTGCTCAGCTTACTCATGTAAGGCAGTATGATGGGGGGGTCTGGAAGAATTTACAATTTTAGTGTGCATTGCTGCTGTTCCTATTTTTTAATTGCTGTGCTTAATTTTAATTACCCTACTCTCCAGGCTTTTAATTTAAAGTGGCAACTCTGAAACAATGCTTTTTATATTTTCATGAGCTGCCTGGAAGCATTCTACGCACATAATATTCATTTTCTATTAATTGTGTTAATGTAATATGGTTTTATGAGTGATGCCGCACAGTTTTATGATCACTGTTCACAATCCACTTACTCAAGAGTCATCAACTTCAGTAGAAGTGGTCTGGCATAAGTGGTTTTAGTATTGCGCTGTTAAATAAGTAAATATCATTAACTGTTTCATTGCT